AAAGAAGGCATGGAAGAGGATAGTTACAAAAGTCTGCTTTGTTGGAGATGGCTTTACTAGAAAGCCACTTAAAAAGGAAAGATTCATTAGGCCAATGGGCTTACGTTTCAAGAACACCCACGTAACACCTCCTGAACTGAAAGTCACCTTTTGCCTGCCGATACTTGGCGTAAAGAAGGATCCCTCATGTGCACTACATACAACTTGGGGTGTTATGACCAAAGTACTGCCACTGAGGTGAATGTGAGTGAGTAGGGCTTTGTGACACAAGGAGACAAGGTTATTTTGGGGAAATCTGTCCTACTTACCAACAATCCTGAAAACAGCTGATGCATAAATGATTTGATAGCAGTTTCCTGTAAGTAATTTTTTGTAATTTTTGAAGATGATACAGTGATCTGGAAAACCACCATGACTCTGATGTTTCTGAATACAGCCAGTCTTACATATCTGCAGTCATCAAAAGATTTGTTCGAAAACATTAAATTGGCCTGGTTTTACACACACACACACACACACACACACACATACACACACACACACAGAACATGTGTGATAACTTCAAACCACAAAGTATGGATCAAATCAAGTGAGGATGTGGAAACTAAAACATGCTTTCCAGATCTAGAAAAGACAGAAGAAATCTCTGGAAGTGAACATGAGAGTTTTTAAGGAACACCAACAAATGTGTTTTTCGTGAAGTAATGAGATTAAGAATCTGAGCAGGTCATGAGATACCTGACAGACAACAAGTGTGTGGGGCCAACTTCCATCCTACAGAGTGGCAGTGGGGCTGGGGTAGGGCAGAGTATCCAGGCCATCTGCCATCCCTATACCTGGGCCTCCCAGCCTGGGGAAACCGGTGTAGGCAGGCAAAGTAGGAGAGAGAAAAGTAACTTGTTTCATAGCTGCTGACTCAAGTTCTCCAGGCAGAGGATAAACGTTAAATCACTAAGCAGAAGTCCTATGGTTACGGGATACACTGAGTTTCACCAACCTCCCACCCAGGCCTCCTGCTTATGAAAGGCTAAGTGCAGATGCATTTCTAGGGTTAAAGGTGCTGCTGATTCAGTGAGACAAAGTCCTGAGCCACCTTCTTAGAACTGAAGATACCTGCTGAGCAGTTTTTTCCTTCACTTACACACACACACACACACACACACACACACACACACCCTGACCTCTTCATTCATGAGAACTAGCAATGTACCTACCTAACCACCAAGAAATATGTATAAACCTAGGATGTCAGAGGAAGAATTATGCAGAAAAAGGTACAGAAAAAGTCTTCTCTATATATTCGTATAAGAGAGTGAATAATATGAAAGAGGCTTATGAAAAGAATCATACGAATGCAAAATAAAAAGAACAATTAGTTAAAATTTACTAGAAAGTGAGCAACGTGGAAGACTAAGGAAAAAGCCAATAAAGATATGATTACTCTTTCTGAACAACAGATAAGAAAAAACCCCCACAAAACCCAACAATGATATCATAAAATGAAAGATTCCTGAAAGATAGAAAGACCCAATTCTGAAGAGTAAAGGGGCAAATTAAGTTCTGAGAAGTACAATAGAAGGAACTGATCAACCCCAGGAAAATAATCAACCTGGGACATATCATGGTGGTTAAGGGGTTTCAAGATTAAATAGAAAATCTTTTGAACAGCCAGCTTCCCCCCCCCCCCATTTTAAAGTCATGTGTAAGTAGAATGAATCACCGAATGTAGGGAACATACATGGTCAGAATGCAAAGAAGCGACGTGCATATGTTTCTGAGGGAAGACAATTATGACTCAAGACTTTTATACCGTGGGAATTGTCCCTATGTACAAGTCGAGGGATATGCAAGGACTCAAGAGAATCTAAGAACTCTTGCAGAAGCAATCACTTAATGGTGAATCTGTCTGACCAAAAGACAACTCAAAATTTAAAAATTAGAAATGGGGGACCAGCAGTTAGTGTAATGGCTATGTCGCTGGACTCCCATGTAGTCAACCACAGTTTGAGTCCCAGACCCGGCGGCTTGGACTCACGCCAGGCACGTGTGCGCCCAAGATCCTGAGAGGAGAATGGCGGAGATGGGATTGTGGCGTGGCCATCCCCCTGGGGGGGTGATTTCTCACTGTCTCTCTCTGTCTTTCTGGCGAGTGCATGTGCCCTATAGCAAAAACAAACAAACAAACAAACAAACAAAACACCTGTCCAAAAAGAGAAAAAAAATTAGAAATGGTAAAGTCATAGTTCAAAAGATCTGGTGATGCTGAACCATTTAAATGCAAATTAAGGTAAAAAATTAATGAAATATTGGCTCTAGAACAGAATATAAATGTTATAATCAATTGTATACTCCAAAGTGGAAAGGTAGATAAAAGGTGGGTAGGAATTTAAGTGTACTAATTTGCTTATCTTTTAAATAGGAATTAATGGTGGTTTATCTAAATGATAAATTTAAAATTTTTTTAAATATGAGCTGTATGTAAAGCAATTCTACTTTTAGCTTTATCCAGTAAGACAAAGTTGCAGACCAACATGGATATCATAAACTCACATATATGTAAAAATGCACATGTGTAGAAAATATTTGGAATGGTGTACACCAAACTGTTATTAGTGGCTTTCTTTGGGAATTAAATCCAGATTGGGGGTTAGTCTGGGGTGAGAAAAATGGCAGACTTTTTTTTTTTCCCCCCCTGAATAAGCATGTCTTTCTTTCACAATGAAAAGAAAGTAAACAAATAAAAATCATTAATAGTTTCAGCATCTCAACTTTAGGATTATAAATCTCTTAATTTCTCAGTTGTGTGGTTAACTAACAAGGAGGAAATAGGGGTAGTTTTGACCTATGACCTTCTCTAAGCTTTGACTTCTACCAACCCAGAGTACCAAAAATAAGTACCAATATTCACGGTGTTGCAGATATGCAATGAGCCTGCAATGAATACATGAATAAAATATAAAAAGTCATATGAAGAGCAATCTTTTTCTGGTCTGACATTTCAGAGTTGACCTTTCTTTGACTTTTTTTTTTTTTCCCCTCAGAAGAAGTAAGTTATGTTTTACAAAAAAAATTATACAAAGAAACATATACATATGTAAATAGGTACATATCTACACACATAACTAGAAAATAAAAAAGGTACTGAGGAAATACAAACATCAAAGGGATAAATGAACCAAAAATAAACTTCCTTCTTTTTTTAAGAGAGATTTTTGTTACAGGGCACATGTGCTTGCCAAAGAGCCAGAGAGACAGAAAGCAAGAAATCACCCCCAGGGGTGATGGCTATGCTGCAGTCCCTTCTCCTCCATTCTCCTCTTGGGAGTTTGATCATGTATGCGCACACACCTGGCGTGAGTTTTAAGCCCTCGGGTTTGGGACTCATACCACAGTCAACTACATGGGAGTTCAGCAATGTAACCACTATGCCATCTGCTGATCTCTAAAAATAAGTTCCTTAAGTGGAATTCAGTAGTAATCAGAACAATTTTAGTGATACTCTTGTTGATTTGGTATACAATATGGTTGAAACTTTAGTGTGCCTAGTTCATTTTCTCAAAGGACAAAGCTATTTATCCATATCATACATAAAACACTAAGGAAAACTAGCAGTTATAAGGACTTAAAATGATAGTAAAAGCAAATTCAGTCATTAGTTCCTCATCTAATTTTCTTTTTTTTTTTTTTTTTTTTTGGAGAGGTTTTTTGCTATAGGGCGCGTGCGCTCGCCAGACAGACAGAGAGAGAGACATAGAGACAGAAAGCAAGAAATCACCCCCCAGAGGGGATGGTCATGCCGCAATCCCTTCTCCTCCATTCTCCTCTCAGGATCTTGGGCACGTACGCACACGCGCCCGGCCTGAGTTTTAAGCCACCGGGTCCGGGACGCAAACCGCGGTCGATACATGGGAGTCCAGTGACATAGCCATTATGCTAACTGCTGGTTCCCCTCACCTAATTTTCTGAACTCTAAAAGTTATATGGAAGCTGTGACTATGAAGGAATAGACATTTCTGTAACATTTTTTGAATATCAGCCCACGATTTCAGGCCTTTAGTTCTTTAGTTCTGGAAAGAGCTTTAGTGTTCTATTTATTTTTTTTTCTTCCCTTTATTGAGAAAGTGTAGTTTGAATCTGTAAGGTCTGAGATGAAACAAAGGCTAATTATTGGTTTCTTTGATAAAACGCACCATAAATAGAGGTAGCACATGGAAAGCAGTTTATCAAGGGATGCTTAAGTAATTTTAAGCACAAGTATCTTCTAGTTTATTTGTTTGAAAGGGCAAAAAAATAAAAAATAAAAATAAAAGGGTTTCCAGGGATAAGACTCAGTCCACAGTCTTGCTAATACTGTGTTTATCCTTCTGATCTTCCCCATGGATTTGAACAGAACACAACAGATGGCTTTTGGTGCTGAAAGGCAAGAGGTCACGGAAGGCCTCCACTGTGACAGGCAGATTAGAGTCAAAGCTGGAACCCAAGCACCTCTGCAAATCAGCTTGTTCAGATTCAAGATTATTGAACAGCATTTCGGCTACCACAGTGTGCACTTGTTTAAAACTGTGCCTAATCTGACAGCTGAGAACAGTAAAGGTCCGGGGTTTTATCACATAGAAACTCATTAAACACTAAGGCAACTGCCTCATGTCCCTGGAGCTTCTCAGCCATCTCTAACCACAGCAAGTCTGAAGGCTATTGAGAAGCTGTGATTATGAAGAAGCAGACATAACTTCAACATGTTTTGGTTACTAGCACACTATCGAGCTTGCCTGTATTGCTCCTCCAGCCGCATACATTCTCTCCACAGCCCTCATGAGTCTTGACAGCCTCATTACACTTCCTTCTGTTGCCGTAAGCATTTCATAACCTAGGCTCAAAACCAGCGTCCCACTGTCAGGGAGCGTTTTGGGTTAGCTGGATTGAGGAGATACTACTGAGTGTTTAAAAATCTACACTTTTTTTTTTTTCTGAGTCCGAATGTGTTAGCATCTTCTGTTCACTAATTACCTTTCAACATAGATGTTCTTTCCTGTCCCCAGGGAGTAGAGGCTGCACAGGATGTGGTAGCATGAAATCTGCACGTCACCCACTGAAACAAAGAAGACATCACCACGTGTCAGTTCTCGGATCCACCTCCTGCACACGGAAAGGGTCCATGAAGAGAATAAAATGTATGGGCAACAGTCAAAAGCAAGACACTCTT